CTTTCTTGTTCCACGCTTGACAGTCCCTCCGTGCAGGCTCGGCAATTATTTCTTTATGTCTGGGCAGTTACTTGCGTAATTTATGATATGGCTTTCGGATCTATAAGCTTGTTCTTTGGAATTCGTTGTTTGCTATGTATTGTTTTTATTGTGTTACTAAAATCACTTGAGTGTATAAAGATGAGATTTTATTCGTCTTATAAAAGTTACCCCTTCCAGTCAGTCAGACAGATTCCATTGCTATGGCACACTTTCTCACCTTTCCTCCCCTTCCCCCACCCCTTCCCCTTCTCCTTCCCCTTCCCCTTCCTCCACCCTTTTCCTCTGCCCTTCGCCCTCAGACAAACCACAGCACCATCTGGCAAGCGAACGTGTTGACACTTCCCAATCCTCCGCGAAAATTAGAGATTGGGGAGAATGAGCAAGCATTTTGGAGACTGGCATTTGGCGGGAGAAGAGGTCACGGGGATAGCAGTCCGCGAAACTAAAGTGTGTGTGTGTGTGTATTTGTATGTTGTTGTTTTTTTAGTTTTTTTTATGTGTGTTTCCGCGCGCGTCGGTGTGTTAGGGTAATGAGTAGGGAACCTAATTGGCCAGACATGTCCGCACTGGAGTGATTAAGCTTTAGCGAAAGGAGGTAGGGGGGGTACGTGGCTTGATTGAAAGCTTGATGGCCTGTTCTTTTACGCTGTCTCTAACATGAAAGCAGGCTTATGTCCTGCAGCGAGCGGTAGATAAACAAATCCTCAATGGACGCAGCCCTTTGATGTGCTAATGGCGAGAGTGCTTGCGGCATCGATGTTCACCAATAAGGGCGGTGTCAGTGGTGCTTGGACGAAAGCAATGGTGATGGGGGTCGGAACGAGGGAAGCAGGTCTGCAATACAGCTCATTACTTACGTTGTTTCGTTTTATTTCTTCCCCGTGATTTATAAGGAAATGGGATCGGCTCATGGTATAACAACATTTTTATTTTTTTAGAAAGTAGAATCTAATTCCTATCAAATTTCCAATATTACATTATATATTTGCCACTGCTTCATTTCGCGATACGAAAAATGCATGCAGCCATACATCATTTTCATTCTATATGCGATTCATATTTATTTAACAGTGGCTATTAATATTAGTCATTATTAATGACATCAGGATTAGGACTGTATTTTGGAAGACAAATGATCCACTTTTGCAATGATGGCAGTAGATTATACCGATTATGCTCATACGGTATGTAGTCGAATGTAATTAGCTCAAATGTGTTTATGTTGGTATCCGTTTGTGTATGTAATGTAATAGTATATGTGTATGTATGTACGTATATTTATGTCTATATATGAGTACGAATGTGTGTGTATGTGTGTGTGTATGTGTGTGTGTGAGTGTGTGTGTGAGTGTGTGTGTGTGTGTGTGTGTGTGTGTGTGTGTGTGTGTGTGTGTGTGTGTGTGTGTGTGTGTGTGTGTGTGTGTGTGTGTGTGTGTGTGTGTGTGTGCGCGTGCTTCACAAAATATTTCATGCTCAGTTTTCTAAAATTGCAATGGCGTGCATTGGCCTTAATGATGAGTCAATTGCCATCAAAGGTCTGCAGGTGAAACCAGCTAGGCGATAGGGCAGGGTAGTTAGGCAGTTGCAATAAAATGGCATTGCTAGTGAGGAAATATATAACTGATAACGACTACTGCATGATTTCTCCTTCCTGGCAATATATTTACCTTTGTTTTTCATGATAAGGGTTGATTCCCGTTGCGTCAGTAATTGTGATATTGATAGTTGTTTGTTGCCACATAACATATTGGAAGTGAAGGGCTGCTGCATCATTATTTACTGTAAATTTTCGTTAAAATTTTGTGTTTATTTGATGGATGAATGATGTAATACTCATGAAGCAAATAAGAGATTTTAAATTGCATGTAGTGAATAACATTTATCGAATATGCTTTCGGCTGTAACCCTTTACGTAAGTTAGAACGAAAATGCCTTATCTTCATCTTGTCACAGAAGTGTCCAGATTATGGCGGGTAATATTTATTTATTTATTTATTTATTTTTATTGGGGAATAAAGCAGTGAGCGAAAATTCCATAGGTGATATTATATTTTCCCGCGCCTAGCTATTTTCCTCCTCTGGCAGGCCGAGAGGGAACTTGTAAAATGACAGCTGGCCAATATACCCGGGGGAAATCAAAGAAGTTTCAGATCTGGCCACAGTGGGCTACGTTCTGGAGTTGGGGAATAAGAGAACACACCCAACGGCCGATGGGGAATTACGGGAATGCATTTTACCCTGTGGCCCTAAGTGGATTACGGAAAGGCCTTATTTGATTTGCAGAGTCATGGGTGGATAGCGGGAAGAAAGTAGGAGGCAGTATATAAAGCTTTATATTTAGTATATATACGTGTGTAATATATATATATATATATATATATATATATATATATATATATATATATATATATATATATATAGATATATAGATATAGATAGATAGATAGATAGATATAGATATAGATATAGATATACCTATATGTATGCATATATACACATATGTGAGTGTGTATATATATGTATATATATATATATATATATATATATATATATATATATATATATATATATATATATATATATATATATATAATATATAATATATATATATAATATATATATATAATATATATATAATATATATATAATATATATATATAATATATATATATAATATATATATATAATATATATATATATATATATATATATATATATATATATATATATATATATATATATACATATATATATATATATATATATATATATATATATGTATCTGTATATATACATATGTGTGTGTGTGTGTGTGTGTGTGTGTGTGTGTGTGTGTGTGTGTATGTGTGTGTGTGTGTGCGTGTGCTTGCGCGTGCGTGCTTGCGTGCGTGCGTTCGTTTGTGCATATATATACTGTATACTTCCGACGTGTGTGTGATAGCGAGAGGAGACTGGGAAGAGTGCTCACTTCGCATTGCGTGTGTGTAGAGTCAACAGTAATTAAACTTATATTTGCTTTAATTATATGTTATCCGACATTAGGTGAAACATATTCAATGTTTTGTTTTTATTTTACTTCCGTGTAATGAGAAGCAATGGATCGATGCTCAATCATTTTCATAGTATTATGATACACCAACAATCGCTAGGTAAAAAAAATTACTTCGAGTTGCACACTGGATGCTAGATGTGCAATAGGAGTGACCATTAATAATTAGCTGACCCCCTCCGACGTCCAGAGGCAGTGGCATGTGGCTTTAACCAGTGGCGGTCATTGGTTGCTGTTGTGGCGTCGGTCGTGGTTTTCGCGTAGAGTCGATACTTCGTTGGTATGTGGCAGCTTATGGTTGACGTCGATGTTTTCTGGTTTTATCTGCTTTTGTCGGTTTGGTTTTCGTCGAGGTACGGTGAGCAGTGTGGCTACTTACCAAAGTCTTACCAAATATCACGACTTTGGGCAGTCCTCGTGATTGCAGCGTTGCGGAATTAGACTGGTCTTTGGCTTGTTTCATTATAGTTTCCTTTGGAATTTTCCCGTTTCCGAAGATGCTCTCGGCTTCCGCTGATCTCGTTTCGAAGGCGTGTTTCCTGGTGTACGGTGATGTTTGATACTAGTGACGCGCGCCAGGCCAGGGTTGCGTAATTAGTGCCTTGGGTCCACGCGACACCACCCGGGCGGGGACTCGCGCGGTTTTACGGCCGTGTCTCGAGTCACGGCTCAGACGCCACGGGAAAAAGAGACTCAACCCGAACTCTGTACGGACTGGCAGACACGACGAAGGTGGGGCCGCGGTTGCTTCTTAAGGATGTTCTCTTCCTTTTGATGGAAAGTGAGTCAAAGCCGTAAGATCGATCTGCATCTCTATATGCATTTTTTTTCTTACTTTGCAGAGGTCATTACGCATTATTTATGAGAAATTTCATTGTTCAGTTATAAATGCATACGTTTTGTTAGACGTGCACATACTTCATTGCAATCCTAAATGACAATGCAAAGATAAGTACACCAAGTGACCATGCTGTAGTACTTTGTGACTGAGCGCTTCGGGAAACGAAAAAAACTGTAGTCAGCATTTTGCCACATGAGGCCAGACTGAGGAACGGGCACATCAGTACCCTCTCTGTCGTTATACCGTCAACAACATTCCGGGAGTAACCAAATCAAGATTAGTTTTGGGCACACAAGTAAGTGCTGAAGCATTCTTGAATTGAAAAATACCATGACCAAGAAAATTATCCTCAGAATTACGCATATAAGGATGTACATTCGGAAATATGAATGTTTCAAGAAGTGAAGTATATAATCGTATTCTTAGAAAATACGGAAATCATTACTTATCACTGAAATTGTTTAGCAAAGTCTATATAAGTACTTATATAGACCTTGGTCTTGAACAGCAAACAAAATTGTTTTTATAAATGTACATGTCCTTCTGGACAATCTTAGCCCCAAGCAAACAGAACAATCTACTGATTACAACCCGCTGTTGATAGATTTTCCATTTGTAGAGAGGATGTGCATGTACACGCGTGGGATATGGAAAATTTACATGCTACGTCACGCTTGTAAGCTGAGTGTCCACTGGTTACAGCGCGTCATACATTTGGCAGGATTTCCAGGTACTTTGAGGTTTCCGAGGTTTAGATATTAAAAGCTGCGGTCAACTGATGAGTTTGTCAGTTTAACACGCATAACATTTTTCCGGGCATTTTATTCGCAAAATTGATGAAATTGATGGATAGAGAGATATACGAATATGTCCGCTGAGGAACTTGGGCGACATGAGAAGTAATTAAAGGGGAACCTGGTTCATAAAAAAAAAACAATAAGAAAAATACGTTTATCAGACGACCATTACATGTTTCCGCTGATTGCGTCTTTGGGATTTCCGGACGAAGCTGTCTAAGAATACATGTTTAAATGCACCTTTGCGCTGCCGGCAGTTAGCGCTCTTTATCAGCTGTGTTCGGTTGTGATTTGGGTCTTGGTTGTTTACATTTTCGGTTGGTATATTATTATTATTATTGTTGTTATTCTTATCAGTATTATTATCATCGTTATCGTTATTATTAGTATTATTAATCTCTCTCTCTCTCTCTCTCTCTCTCTCTCTCTCTCTCTCTCTCTCTCTCTCTCTCTCTCTCTCTCTCTCTCTCTCTCTCTCTCTCTCTCTCACACACACACACACATGAAAGAGATGTAAAAGGTGACTGGTTGGGTTTAGCTGTAAATACCTTTTTAAAATCCAGTTATGATATGACTGGACAGGTAGTATAAACGTATGTAGCTTTAATAAGTTCATTGTGATTAAGGTTATAAGGAAGAGCCATGAGTTCTGAGTAATCCCCGAGCTTCTGCTTAGAAATCTGTTTATTCGATGTATAAGGAGTAAGATGAAAGCGTTGCCAAAATATTGATTTCACACAGAAGCATTGCCAGCGTGAGGTAACTATGCTAGCGAAGAGGACATTGTCTAAGTCGACAGAATACACGAGACGCTGAAGGCATAAATGATCACAAGAGTAATTGTCAATATACTTCATGTCTCTCAGTCATTCTCTCCTTATTCCTCCCCCTCTGCTTTCCCCTCTCTACATTTCCTCCTTTCTCCTTTCCCTCCCTGTCCCTGCTCCTCGGCCTTCCTCATCGTGTTCACATTCTCCCGTCTTCCTTTACTGCCCCATCTTCATCATGTCTCCAAAACGGTTCACTTTCTTCGCGCGCAATTATCTTGCACTGCCTGCGCCTTCCGGCCGACTGGGAGCGAGTTACTAACACCGTAGCACCGTGTTAATTCTCGTTTTAAGGAAGAACACCGTTAATATCTGGTGTCAGCCGGCATTGCCCGTTGCATCTCGCCGCGAGTCCAAATGGAAGGCATAAACTCCAGCCTCCTTTTTAACAAGCCCTCAGGACTGTAGGGTCCCCAAGGCGCTCCTTTGGAATCTTTTGAAATGTTCTTTCGGAATTCGCCCTCCGAAGTGTTTGATGGCGATTGGAAAAGAAGGAAGAATAAATGGAAAATTTCCTTCCGATTTTTAACATCAACTCTGCTAATGAATCGTATTAGATTATTCATGTGTGTTCGGGTAGATTTCAGAATGGCGGCCTTCGTCTTGGGTCTATTGTTTTTTGCTTCTGTTTTTGTTGAGTGATTTTTTTGTTTCTGTTTTTACTAAGTGATTTTACATAACGCCTTGGCACTAAACAAGGTCTTGTTTAAATCGTCGTTATACATTTTTGGCAAAGGTAAGAATTCGGTATCTGGAAAGAATATACAAATATAGATATATAGATAGACAGATAGGTAGGTAGATAGATAGATAGATAGATAGATAGATAAGTAGGTTGGTAAATAGATAGATAGATAGATATAGGTATACATATACATATGGGGGAAAGAAAGTGAGAGGCAAATAGAGACGTACATAATTAGATAAACGCAAAGACGTATTAAACTGATTTTGGAATTTAATGTTAGTGCAGGCACGAATATTCACGATCACTTCGCCATAAGCACTCTCCAAGATAGAGCTATCTCGGCCGCGTGTTTTGGTGGCATTGCATGTTAATACACACCTGGCTGCGGAGGTGAAAGGGAGTCAGGAACAGGCGCCGATAGGAAGGAGGCGACGTGCACGCGGAAGAGGAAGGAGATAAGATTGCGCGCTTAGGAAAGAGGGCAGAGCAGGTGCAAAATGTGTAAAGTGACGATGAATAAATGAAATAAAAGATAAAAGAAAGTATAGAAACAAAAAAACTTATGGAAAGTTTATGAATGGGCAAAGGGGAAGACTTTCTCTCTCTCTCTCACTCTCTCTCTCTCTCTCTCTCTCTCTCTCTCTCTCTCTCTCTCTCTCTCTCTCTCTCTCTCTCTCTCTCTCTCTCTTCCTTTCCCCGCCTCTTCCCTCTTTCTTTCCGCGGTTCCCTCCTAGTTCCGTCTTTCCCCCAAGCTCCTCTCCCTTGTTCCATCAGGGCGGCCAGAGTTTAATCACGCTCGCACCAGCAGTCTGTGATTGATGTTGGCTCTCGAATGGGCTTGTATGTGCGTAAAGGGGGACCTAATGTCGCCGGGATGAGGGTGGACGCCGGAGATAGGCTGTGGCTAATTGAGTGAGGAGACGCCGTCCTTGAGGGACCAGGTGGAGGAGGGAGGCAGTGATGGAGGCGCTTCAATCGAGGAAGGGAGGGGGAAGCTTTTGAAGAGACTGGAAAAGCGGATTTTTTTTTTTTTTTTTTCTTCCTCCTCCTTCTTCTTCATCTTTGTCTTCTTTGCTTCATCTTCTTCTTCTTCCGTGTTGTTCCGTGTTTTGTGGGTGTTCTTACCATGTGCTTTGATTGTTTTAGATGGCTGTTGTTATACGCGGGCGTTGGGTTCAAGCACGAGCAGTAGCTGAGATTTTCGTGACACGTCGAGACATTTTTTGTTGAAGGGAAGGGGGAGGGGGTGAAATAGGGAAGGGGATAAAGGGTTTGAACAGGAGAGGGCTGAAAGGGGATGGATTGAGGTAGGGGGCAGAGGGAGGGAATGGAAGAAGGGGAAAGGAGTGGATAGTGGAGGGGTCAAAGGGAAGGAATAGGAGAAGGGGTCGGTATGGAAGAGGAGAGGTGGAAGGGGATGGTAAAGGGAGGGGAAAGAGCAAAGAGAGTGAATAGGGGAGGGGAAGGGGATGGAATGGGGGAGGGGGAATGGGAGTGCTTTGGGCTTTTGGTTGAACATAATTACGCGTTGTCTTCCGGCGAAGGTTTACTTGACACGGCAGAACGGAGGTTACACACAGGAAACGTGGGGTTTGGGGATATCCAAGGCTAGACTTTAACGTTTTTATCTCGAGCTTATATAATTTCACACACAAATAACACTGTTTTTATTAAGAAAAATAAGTAAATTGTAATTTTCCCTCGACCAAAAGACTGGCGGCCTTCAGTGACACGGCGACCACGCACCGAGCGATGTCGTGCAGGGTCACACTAGGTCGTGCAGGTCGTGGTGCTCTCTTCATTGATCCCCCCTTCACCCTAACCCTCCCTGCCCCCCGAATCCACGACCGCCACGCGCGTTCGGGGTCGTCCGAAGGGTAAAATAATGAAAAAAGAAAGCCTCGTCGCGGTTATGGCTGAGCTAAAACACTTTGTGTAGTGTATGCACACAGTTTCTTAAGAGGCGGAGGGAGCATGAAACAAGGTGAGACACGATCATGGAAGTCCGAGCAATTTTTTTCTTATATATATATATAGATAGATAGATAGATAGATATAGATATAGATATAGATAGATTCATATACATTTTTTATATAAAATGTTCTTTTATATTCCTGGGCAGTTATTATTAATGTCATAATTTAAATTTCTAATTATTACTTCAGTTTATTTTTCATTATTCTAGTCTCCTGCCACTAATTATTACCCTACCTCTTTATAAAGAACACTTGACATGCGGCTCTCGTAAGTCTTCGTCCCTAGACTCGCTTCTCCTCGACTCGCCGAGCCCGCGAGCCTTTCCACTTAGCTCGGCCGGACGGGTGCATTAACGTAAAAAAAATCTTTGAGAAATTTCCCTCGGCGATGTTGGGTGTTCTGGATAATTAGTCCATTAATTAGTTTGATATAATTATTGCCTTGGGTATAGACAAAGAGCCGGATGGGCGGACTTTCTGTCTGTTCTGCGCTTTTGTTTTCGTGTTTGTGGCATGTTGTAGGTTGGAGTTATGGGCACTGTGGCGACTCTTATGGCATTTTTCTTCTTTTTTTTGTTTGTTTTTTAATTATTTTTCATGTGCAAACCCCATTTGATTACCACTTTGCGACTAGTTATGGCATGGATGGTCCGTATGTTAGGCATATCGTAGTGGTATTAGTCGTTGGCAAATTATCTAACAAGGGGATGGCGTGGAATGGACGTTGAGCTCATTCTGGAGACAACGCTGGTCAGTCGCGCCCTTATCACAAAACCTAGGATCGCCAAACGACCTTTCTTGCCTTTCCCCCTCTCTTCCTTTCCCCCTCTCTTCCTTTCCCTTTCTTGCCTTCCCCCTCTCTCCCCCTTCCCTTTCTTCCCTCCCCCCTCCATCTCCCCCTTCCCCCCGCCTCCTGTAGGGCGTGGTGGCCGTGGCGGCAGGAGGAAGGGGCCGTGGTCCATCACTCCCCTGATAAACTTATCCCATTTTATGCTCACGACGCGCCACTCTATCTCCTACTCTTGCCAGACCTTCATTAACCTCTTTATTTCCTTTCTCCTCCTTCTTCACTGCTTCTGTTTTTCTTCGGCAAAGTTTGTGCCGTGGTGTTTTCCTCTCCATTTAGCCCTTGCCGGAGATCTCTGAGGGAGTTGCTGCTCGAAAAGGAAGCGTCTTCCCTCTCGGATCGGGATCTTCGAGTGATTCCTTTTAATGCCATTCGGGGAATCTCTCTCTCTCTCTCTCTCTCTCTCTCTCTCTCTCTCTCTCTCTCTCTCTCTCTCTCTCTCTCTCTCTCTCTCTCTCTCTCTCTCTCTCTCTCTCTCTCCTTCCCTCCCTTTTTCCCTTCTTTCTTTTCCCATTCCTCTCCCATTCTCCTCTCTTTTCTTCTTTAAGCCCTCCTCACCCCCCTTTCCTTCCTTTCTCCCTATTCCTTTCTTTTATCCCTCCTCTCTCTCCCTCTCATTTCTTCCAGTTTTCTCATCCTTTCCTCCCCCTCCATCCCTCATTCTACCCCACAACACACACATTACCCATTCTTTGTCCACTCATGTTCGTCTGTGTATTTACATCTGTACATCTATATAAACAAGATTTGCATGGGTTGAAATTTCAGCAATACTTTCCCCATATTGAGAACTGACGACTCCGATTTAACGAGTGTGTTCTCATTCACTCATATCCCCTCTGCCTTTCCCCTCGGTTCGTTAGAAGTGTTAGAAGGAATCGCTCCCTGAAGTGTTAGGAAGTCGAGTATTGGTGACTTTTTGAGTAAGATCGAAGGGAAGGCATGTCCTCGAGGCATCTGAGGCTTTACTCGAATTCT